ACAGCAGCACAGCAGCACAGCAGCACAGCAGCACAGCAGCACAGCAGCACAGCAGCACAGCAGCACAGCAGCACAGGTCTGGCAGTTTGCCCGCATAACGGACCAGCCAAAGCCTGCACAGTCGCTGCACTTACCGCGGGATTGACACAATAATTACATTATTAAATTGTATTACAATCGACGCAACAATTAAATTGTATAACAATAGACTATAATTACATTATGATATTGTATTACGATTGACACAACAATTACATTGATATATTATATTACAATTGAGATGATAATTACATTAATAAATTGTATAACAATTGACACAACAATTACATTATTGTTTTATAGAAATTGGCACAATAATTTTATCAATATATTGTATAAAAATTGACACATTAATTACATTATAAAATTGGATAAAAATTGACACAATAATTTCATTATTATATTGCATAACAATTGAGACGATAATTACATTAATATATTTTTTACAATTGACACAATATTTACACTATCATTAAAATAATGTAATATTTCACATGAATTGAATTCTTCTTAGCATTTAAAATTAATTAATTTTTCATTTTATTTGCAAACCTTATAATTAACGTCGGGAATTCAGCAGAGTTACTGAAATACTGGTAGTGGATACCGCAGAGTTTTTCGCCCCAGCGTGCCGGGACAGTTTAACTCGCAATTTGTTCTTTAATTAGTAATAATAATTGAATAATATGTAACTATTACAACAATTTGTCTCCGTTATAACTAAGAATATATACAATTTATGATTAATATTTAATTTTGAAAGGAATATTGAAATTGACCATGTAATTAATTTAAACGAAACATATCGCGATCATTCACCGCTGAATTTGAATTTTTTAAGCAAATTCAAAATCATGCAGGTATTTATTTATTAAATTAGCCATTTTCTCACTAAAAAATTTGTTAAAATTGATTATTTGATTATTAAATTTCTTAAAAAATTCGAGCTCTTCCATAAATAAGATGAATAGTCGAAGTCAATTATTTAATAAATTATTTTTATTAATTTAGTGATAGGGAAACATAGAATATATTTGGCACACTTGCCACCAAGGCCGAGGAGATGTGGCACATCAGCACGTCGCGGGTGCCCGCGATGTGGCAACGTCGCGACAGAGACTGACGCTTAAAAATAACTTCCTTCAACAGTGGCAGTTCTTGCTTACCCCTCCCCTCCCCCC